GGCAAAGTGCAAAGTCACGGATGAATGAGCCAGTCGGAGTTGGCTGGAACTTTGCTCCAGCGATTCGTTTTAATTGATTTTGCTTTGCTGCAGGAACTGGGCTCATAAAACGCACCGCTTCACACCCCACCACCACCACCTGAACCGCTGGATGGCTAAAACAGAAAAAAAATCTGAAAAATCAGCGCTTGGCCAACTAATTTCGGCCAAACATGACCGGGCTGGCCAGAGGAGTTGGCAAATATTTGCGGCCATTTCCAGCGTCTCCTAATTGTGGGCACCCTCTCGCTTTTGTTGTTGTTGTAATTGGCACGGTTGGTAATTCTTTTTTGGCTAATTTTTGGATATTGGATTTTAGTAGCTTTGTATTTGTGGTGTTTTCGTTTTCATTTTCATTTCCATTCGAACGCCCGCTGCTGACAATTTGCAATACACAAAGTTGCAGTTTGTTTGTATTTTTGTGTTTATGCAATCAAAATTCTTGCCGTTCCCGGGGCGAAAAAAAGGCAACAGCACAAATGGCTCGAATGGCACTTGTGGGTGCAATTGTAATTATCCTAATTTATGTTGTGTGGCGGTCGCTCTAATGCAGTTTTGCCGGCCTGCTATTCTGAAAACGGCGCGCAGATTTATTGTAAATTATCTGGCAGCCCGACAATGATCGATAGTGAAAAATTTATAGTCGCCACAGCAGTTTCAGCCATTAATTTTTGGATTTTTGGTTTGTTTTTAGTTTGCCTTTAATAAAATGCCGGCATTATTTGCCGGCTTTCGGTTTCAGTCAAAACGTTAGCCACTGTCGATGCTGACGGTTGTGTTTCACAAATAATTAGACTAATAAACGAGGCCGCAATCCTGGTGGAAGTGCATTAGTGAAATGGAAAAGTGAGTGGGTCGCCAATATATGCACATATGTATGTATATACCTTCATGCCAAAATTAATTGACCCGTGCGGATGGTAATGTAATTAAAAAAGTTATTTGGCTTGCCACCTCGCGGAGCTCGTGAATATTTAATGTGGCAAAATGAAGGCGGCGACAAAGAATTTAAATACATTAACTGCACACTAAAATTGTCACACACGAGTGAAAGGCCATGCCCTTTTCACTCTAATTAATTAAATCAGAGCACTTAATTATTAAATGACTCTATAAAAGGCACTCGAATGAACGACATCTTTTTATTGCTGGAAAAGGGCATCGCCAAGCAAACATCAAACATGATTGACAATAGTCATGTCCAGGTGTGGTCTTAGCCAATCAAATTGTAATTGAAATGTTGTTGTCAGCTGGCAACAAACAAACGTGAGTGGATAAATCAATGATTGTGGGCCAGGGCACAGACGAAGCCAACCCCATTGATTTATGATCTTTTAGCGGGCTTTAAATTAATAAAACCGCTCGACTGTCAGATGGAGTTGTCAATAGCACATTGTGTTTGATGAATTCAATTAGCATTTTTACAATGACACGGGTATGAACATGCATTATAAATGTGCGAATTATCTACAAGGCACACGCAATTATTTCCATATTTTTGAAAAGCTCTACACTGGAAAAGATAATTGTAATATCCAGGGGAAATTTATTTATAATATATTACAATAGTATTTACTCAATCCAAACTACATATGTTTAGAAGTTAATATTTAATAATAAATTTGAATATTAAACCCTAAATAACACAGTATTCTTTTAACATATTTAATGAAATAAAGATACAAACGGTTCACAAACGATGGAGAACTAAATATTTAAAATAAAAATAATTAATAAGTATGTGTGCAAAATATTGTTTCCCAGTTGATATGTATATTTTGTAGTGTATGACCAGGCTGCTTTGCGACGAATGTCAACGGCTCGAAAATTCTGCTTCTGGCGATCTCCTGTGGACAGGTGAATGGACGTGAATCACCTGCATTACTGGCGATCGATCAAGAATTAGACCCTACCAGTCGCAACTCACCAACTCTACATATATCATCTCCCCGGCGGAAAACAGCAGACAGCTCAGTGGTAAAAACCCGGGAGCGATAACGAGCAGATGGATCACTACCAAGCACGCCGGTAGCAGCGAAGCAGCTCTACAATTTACAAATTTTAAATCAGTTTTAGAACGACTTCGCAACGCAGCGGTTAAGCTCTAAATCCCTCAAATAATTAAAGTTCCAGTGAGAGGAGTCACGGTATCCAGGATTCTGAAGTGTTGAAGTGAGGTGCAACCGCAACGGAAAATAAAGTGTGAGTTTGTTTTACGACTTTATTTGGGACGTCGAATTCCCCCAATTTCCCACGAGCAACAGTTGGCCAAAACCATGGCCAAAATCTATTGCTGCCTTTCGACCGGTTTTCCCCTAGAGAAAAGACAGAAACACTTTCATGCATCACGATGAGTTGCAATCCAGGTGGAAACTAGTTTCACCTGCATTGGGTTAACCTTGAAGTGCGGAAAAGAGCTTCTGCTGGATGAAGTTGAGTTGAAATCCTTTATTTACCTTGAATATTGTCGAAATTTGGTTGGCATCTAGAGATTTTGTCAATGCAATGTTGTTTATATGCTAGGTTGTGTAGTAAATTCGTAGTTGAACACTTGTTCTTCAATTATTTGGAAAATTCTGTCAATGCACAAGAATTGCTCATACGCAGAAAAGTTTTGTAAATTCCCATTCACTTAAAACTCGTGTTTTGATTTTGGAGAAAAACTTTAGCAATGAAGAATTTTTCTTTGGTTCTAGTAAATGTTGGGCATCAAAAAATGTCAAGTAAAACTGTGTTTCTTCTAAGAAAGCTTTTAATATTTTCAAAAATCCGAAAATACAAATGAAACATATTTTAATACTAAGTTCGCTATTAAGAACATTTATTCAAATTAAATCGTAATAATGAATGGGTTCAAGCAGTTCTAATAGTCAATTATCATCAGATGTTTACATTAGTTAGATTAATTAATCTAGAGTCGATAACCCGAGTTCAATAGTCATTATCCCCGAAACCCGACCGCAACCAAATGAAATCGGCGCGTATATAGTAGGTATATTCGATCCCCGAGTATATTTATTTACCCCAATTGATTGATTCACGATTCGTTCGTTTACCTCTCGCAAACCTGATGCCGCAATCGAATGTGTGTTTGCAAATCGTCGCATGTTGGCTCAGTGGGTCATGCGTCGACGGGTTGGTCTTGAACCGCAGATCAAGTGAACACAAAAGCCAATTGAAATTAGAGTCCATCGGAGCGTTGGCAAATTGCATAACATTTGCACTAGGGGCTGCATCCCCCTTTCCATTCCCCCAACCCCCTTTTCGCAAAACACACATATGTTGCAGATTGCAGATTGCACTGTGCACAGTGCAGCATGTGAGATTGACAAATGGACGACGAGTCGACTAATCTCGGTCATAGTCGCTAATTAAAAGGTTTAAGGCTAAAATTAGCATATGAAGCAATCGCCATTTCCCCCCTCTGGCAGCATAAACACAGATACACACCCACACACTGGCACTCATCATCTCACACAGATACACCTGCGTGTTTGGTGTTCATGAGACTGAAATTCATACATGACGTGAACAAAAGCCATCTCTCCCGAATCCCCTATCCCCGGAAAATCCCCTCCAAAATGGGCCTGCGACTATATATGCAAAGCGAGAACGTTTACGGGAAGGTGAAGAGGGGGGCGGGGTTTTTAGGCACATTAGATGGCATCGCATGCCACCAATTACCCGCATAATCTTGTAATACTAACCCAAACCAAATGCCCGCGCCCCTCGGCGTTCTAAAGGTCCAATTTGGGTTTCGGTTACGCCTGGCAGAGCTTTAATTCCCTTTAAATAGTGGCACACTGTATGGCGAGATGGGGATTACAGAGCCCCCTCTTCCGAAAAACACGTGTGACTGGAGTAGTTAGTGGCGCCCAATGACGCCATCTCCATTACACTTGAATGGGCAGGCTTAACGGCTGAGTTATGAGTGCTGCCGACAGCCTTTAAAGGGCGATTTCATCGGGAGACGGGCACTCATATCTATACATATCCATCTCTCGTTCATATCTGAGGTTCCTCGCAAGTCGAAAAGCTTAGTTCCGATCCACTGGGTCCACTCGAGTATGTAACCCGTGGCCAGCTGTCCGTCGCCGGTCGGTGCAATTGTTTTGTGAAATTAAATTAAATTGATTGAATTTAGACGCTCTTCGGCCAGAGGTCAATGCGGAGGTGCTTGGGTGGCTGCTCTGCACACGAAGAAAATCAAGCCATAATTTAATAAAGATGATTTGTTAAAAGCTTTAAGATAAACACGTTTGTTTTCCGGATTTATTAGAGAAAATATAGAAATTGTAATATGTTCTTAAGATCTTAGTAACAGCATTCATAACTAATTGTAATATTTAAATCTATAAAAATAAAAAACCACAAAATAATTTATAATATTTTTCAAAATTTAAAGTTTTCTAATTAATTAAAATAAAATAAAAGAAACAAGAAATTATTGATAAACATAATGATTTATTTGGATAAAAAGTTGTATATGGTTTAAGTTTTTATAGAACCTTTCAATACACATCGCATTGATCGTAGATAATAGTTTTCTCTGTGTAGTTATTGCTACAGAGGCGCGTTTGTTATTGCTAGTTCAGTGATAATGACACAAATTGCTGAACGATCTGCTTTGTTGCCGTTCCTGTTGATTAACAGAGATATAAAGGCGAATTAATGAAGCGATTGGGGTTAATGGGTCAAATCAGTGCAGGTACCTTAGGCTGGGAAATACCAGATATTTCCTGTCCTAAGATCGGAATACATAGTTTACAGAAACTGCATAAGATCAGCCTGAGTAGAGCCGCCACCCCTGACCCCCAGAGCCACCCACGCTGGCTGGAGATCCATGTTGATTGCATGTTGCCAGTTGCTAGTTGCTGCTGCTCTGACAGATGTTGCTGCCGTGCTGCTGCTGCTGCTGCTGATGTCGCTAGTTGCTGCTGTCGCCACTCAATTGCTTGTCGCGCGCCGTGATTGCGCATCCCCATGCGGCGCTTTTAGTTGGCAATGCGAGCGCGACTCGTCCGCAGTCTCCGGTCTCCAGCCTCCGATCTCCGCCAGCGATCTCACATCTCCGGTTCGCCATTCTCCGGCTCTCCATTCTCGGTTTAGGTTACGTCCCGTTCGGTTCGTCAAACTGCGTTGCGCGAAAAATTGCGTTTAATTAAAGTATAAAGGCCAGCGAGCTCCTCAATTACGGCTGCTCGTGGGATGAGTCGCCACAGCCAGCTGAAGCTAGCGATGCCCTCGGTTCACGGGGCTCCTGGCCAGGCCACGCCCTCATCCTCCGCCTCCGCCTCCCCACCGCGGAGACCCGTGAAGCTGGGCCTGGGTGTTAATCAGCGAACGGGTCGCGTGCAATGGTGTCCCGGTCTGACGTGCTGCAAACTGCTACTCCTTCTTCCAGTTTTAATGCTGCCCCTGACCCTCGTGCTCATCCTGATCATGCGGCTGGACGGGATGCTGGAGGCGCTGCAGCTGAACGAGCAAAGGATGCGGGAGCGACAGGATTCTGCAGCGGGGGAGGTTCCCGCCTATATGGAGGATTACGAGGCGCTTCTGCCGGAGGGCAGCACCTACAACGAGCTGATCAACGAGGAGTTCCTCCTGCCGGCCAGTAAGCGAGCCCAGCTGCAGCTCCTGGCGGCGGAGAGGGCCCGTCGCTGCCAGCCATATCGGTATGGAAACGGCGAGGCCATGGAGCTGGAGGAGCGCAACACGCTGATGAAGGACTCGCGCACCTCCTTCCTGCCACTGGGCATTCCACGCGAGTGCCTCGGCAGCGGGCTCGATCTGGACATCAAGCCCCTGGACTCGGAGGTCTATCAGCGGCAGAAGAAGCGCTACCAGGACATTGCTCCCTACTGGCTGGAGAGGATCAGGACACGCGAGAGACGCGAGGCCGAACGGCAGGCGGAGGAAGAGGCCAGTTCCGAGATCAGCGAAGAGACCGCCGCCCTGCAGAGCTTCTGGAACGAGGAGGGCACCCGGGAGGGCATTCGTCTCACCCAGGCCAAGACCATGAAGCGCTACATGGACCAGAAGGTGGATCCCTGTGTGGACTTCTACAAGTACGCCTGCGGCAACTGGGAGCGACTGCATCCGATTCCCAAGGATAAGGCTGGTTTTGATACCTTTGAAATGCTGCGCGAGAGTCTGGACCTGGTGCTAAGGAATCTCCTGGAGAAGAATGATGCCACTGTGCAACCCGCGGCGGAGCCACGAAAGAGTCCGGTGCGAAATACACTCTTCAAGCTGAATGAGCAGGGCGAGGGGGAGGGAGAAGCGGAAGCGGACCAGCCGGCGGCGGCGGAACTAACAGCGGAACGCCTTCGACGGCACATTGTCAGCAAGAGGCAGTTGCTCAACCGGGTGCTGGTGCGCTACAAACGCTATACCAACGGAACGAAGAGGAAGCGCCTGATTGAGACGCCACGTGAGCGGACCAAAGAGGAGGAGGCTGCTCCGCCAGGCAGCCTGCCCAAGGACAAGTCCAAGGACAAGCCGGACAACGAGGAGCAACTGCATGTGCCCAGCGATTTCCTGAAGCCCCAACATGACGCCCAGCTGAAGGCCAAGAATCTCTATCGCTCCTGTGTGAACAGTGCCCTGCTGGCCAAGCGTGGATTGGAACCGCTGCACACGCTCATCCGGGAACTGGGTGGCTGGCCCGTTCTGGAGCCCCAGTGGAGCGACACCAACTTCAACTGGCAGGTGCTGGCCGCCACATTGAGGCGCTACAACAACGACATCCTCATCGTCCAGTGGGTGGGGGCGGACATCAAAAACTCCGAGGAGAACATCGTCCAGTTCGACCAGACGGGCCTCGGCCTGCCCACCCGGGAGTACTTCCTGCAGCCGACCAACGCCAAGTATCTGCAGGCCTACCAGCGCTACATGTCCGAGGTGATGCACAAGATGGGCGCCTCCAAGGCGGACGCCCAGCGGGTGGCCAGCGAGCTGGTGGCCTTCGAGACGCAGCTCGCCGGGATTACGGCACCAGCGGAGCAGCGACTCAACGTGACCAAGGTGAGTGAATCTCAAATAATGGAAAGCTATACAAATTTAAGTCAAAAGTCGGACAAAAATGGTTTGTCTTTAATTAACGGTAGAATGCCCTTAAATTAAGATCTCGACTGTAAACAACCCGAAATTTAAGACGTGGCGAACTAAATTACATTTAATATATATTTTTTATGGATATAGATACAAAAAATCTATAATATATTGTCTGATTGAATTTTAAATTAAAGAACGACTTATTCACATTTTCAGAACGATCGTTCGGAAAATTTCTAGTAAGATTCGGTATTGTTTAAAGATTGTTCAATCCCAAATTATTCTTTCTTTATTTTTCTGGGTATATTCGCTTATTTTCATTAATATTATGTAACAATCTTTTGTTTTAATTTAGTTCAAATCTAAATAAAACGATCAAGAACATTGCATAATCAGAAACAAATTAAACTAGTAATAATTTTCAAGAATATTTTAATGTTTAAATTAAGGAAGTTTTTATATTTTGAGTGAAAACACATTTAAGTGTTTTAAATAAGAAACTTTAAAAATCTAAATTTGTAATTAACTTTGTATTGTTCTTGAGTTTTTGTTTTTATTTGTAAGACCCTAAATAACAAAAAGTAAAAACTTAAATATAAGTGTAAATGAACCCTCCGTCATATCCCCGGCAGCTCTACAAACGGATGACTCTGGACCAACTTCAGGCTGTGGTGCCCGAGATCAAGTGGCGTGCGTATCTGCAGAGCCTGCAGGATCGCGAGGTCCTGGGCTCCGAGGAGGTGGTCATCTACGCGGTAGAGTACATGAGCAAGCTGGTGACCCTGCTGGATGAGTCGGATCCCCGCACGGTGGCCAACTACATGATGTGGCGCTTTGTGCGGCACCGCATCAACAACGTGGACGATCGATTCGATGACATTAAGCAGCACTTCTATCACGCTCTCTTTGGCCGCGAGGAGAGTCCGCAGCGTTGGAAGGTGTGCATTGCCCAGGTGAACACCAATATGGGCATGGCGGTGGGCTCCATGTTCGTGAGTCGCTACTTCGACAACAACAGCAAGCGGGACACCCTGCGTATGACCCACGATCTGCAGCAGGCCTTCCGCGACATCCTGAAGACCACCGACTGGCTGGACTCGACCACCAAGCAACTGGCCGAGGAGAAGGTCAATGCCATGTCCCTGAAGATCGGCTATCCGGACTTTATCCTCAATCCGGGTGAGCTGAACGGCAAGTACGCGGGCATCGAAATCCATCCGGACAAGTACTTTGAGAATACGCTGAATGTTCTGCTCCACACGGCCAAAACGGAGCAGGCCAAGCTGCACGAAAGGGTCAACAAGACCAACTGGCAGACGGCGCCGGCCATCGTGAATGCCTATTATAGCCGGAACAAGAACCAGATCATGTTCCCCGCTGGCATCCTACAGCCGCCCTTCTACCACCGCCACTTCCCCAAATCGCTGAACTTCGGGGGCATCGGTGTGGTTATTGGCCACGAGCTGACCCACGGCTTCGACGACAAGGGAAGGCTCTTCGACAGGAATGGCAATATCCACAAGTGGTGGACGGACTCCTCGATCCGGGGATTCGACGAGCGAGCCCGCTGCATCATTGCCCAGTACAGCAACTATACCGTCGAGGAGGTGGGCATCGTTCTGAATGGAGAGAGTACCCAGGGTAAGTCTATTTGATACAACATTGTATTAATTCTGTTACTCAAATGAAAGATATTTTATAAATCATGTAATAATATAATAATCATAAGTCTAGCCAATCATACAATTTCTACCTCTCTGATCTCAGTGATCGCAATAATTAATATAACAAAAACGTTGATCATTTTTCTTTTAAAAATCTTTATTTTTAAAATAATATTTTAGAAATCCACAAAGTTAGATTATATTTCTTTATTAATATGCATGAAAATAATCTATATTTTAATCACTGGTTAATAGATTATTATCCTCTAGTTTTAGATTAATTGCCTTTGCTTTATTTTACAGGTGAGAATATCGCGGACAATGGAGGTCTGCGCCAGGCCTTCCACGCCTACCAGCGCTGGCTGAAGGAGCATCCCAACGAGGTCCAGGACGAGATCCTGCCGGGCCTCAATATGACGGGGCCGCAGCTGTTCTTCCTCAACTTCGGACAGGTGTGGTGCGGAGCGATGCGACCGGAGGCCATACGGAACAAGCTGAACACGGCCATCCACAGTCCAGGTCGCTTCCGGGTGATCGGAACGCTCTCGAACTCCTTTGACTTTGCGCGGGAGTTCAATTGTCCCCTGGGCTCACCGATGAATCCCTTCAAGAAGTGCAGCGTCTGGTAGCCGATGAACCAGAGTTATAGCCTAAGAGTATTAAACATGACATATGCCTTGCAGCCCAAGACCAAAGACCGAGGGCAAGCCAGTTGGTGAGTAGATAGGAGGCAAAGAACCTCCCTGGCGAGGCTCTAATTGCTCCACTTTGGGCGCCACTTAGGGAGAAAGCGGTGGTGGTGGTGGTGGTTTCTTGTGCAGCTTCCTTGTGGCTCGTTACCCATTTCCATTCCAATCCCCTTGCTGTTGTTGTGCCAACAACGACATCGCACTTCAATTGGGGCGCACTCACTTAATTAATGGTGATTTATGCCCAGCAGTTGGCTCAGTTTCAGTGGCCCGGGTGGCAACTTCTCCAATTGTCTTTCCAATAAAACTGCAATTGGTGCGTGCCACTTGGAACGCTTCACTATATATAGCTTATCTCCGCAGAAAAATTACAACTTCTGTTAAGATTTCCATCTCCATTTCAGGCTTCAATTGGTTCCCATTCCCAAAGACAATGCCTCGGATCGCATGGGATGTCTGGACTCCCATCACACCAACAAAGATAATGTGCCAAAAATTAACTTGCAATTCTATATATTTTTCTTAGCCCTTGACTATTTATATTTCTAACTTGCAATAGTTTAGTTTATGATGCAATTTATGTTTGTGATAATTCTAATTAAATGTATATTATCAAATATGTTGTTTTTTACTGTGGGAATAAAGATTGCGACTGCTCAACACTGGCAGCTTTCAAGTTCAAAAAACGAATATTTTGGAAAACTTTTGAGTGAAATTTTGAAAGCAATTATGAGTGCCCATTCAGTTAGGAACGTGCGCTCGGCGACTGAAGAACTTCAAAGACAACGCGCTAGTGGGTGATCCAAAAATATACATATATATTTATATACATACCCCGCGTTGGATACCGGAAAATCAGAGGAGGGAAATGTTTTCATTTATACCAAATCGAAACTTCAAAAAGTGAAAGCAATGCATTTCCCATGGCTTGTGGTGATTTTTGTTTGCCTTAACCAAGTGCAGGCACAGTTTTATGGGGGCAGTACTTACGACTCGTCCGCTGGTCAATCCATTCGCCTGGGTGAGTGAAAGAGTTCCCAGAACATATGGCAATTTCCTCTCCCGAATTTCCTTTTCACTCAAACAATGTATACAGGTCTTATCACAGACGACGCCACCGACCGAATCCGTCAGACCTTTGAGCACGCTATATCGGTGGTAAATAGTGAGCTCGGAGTTCCTCTGGCCGGGGAAACGGAACTGGTGGCCTATGGCAACTCCGTTCAGGCCTTTGCCCAACTTTGCCGGCTGATGCAGGTGAGCGAATATCTTTGTGAAAGGTGAGGAGGAACTGACTTCCATTTTTCATACCAGAGCGGAGTGGGTGCCGTCTTTGGGCCGGCTGCCAAGCACACAGCCTCCCACCTGCTGAATGCCTGCGACTCGAAGGACATCCCCTTCGTATACCCGCATTTGTCGTGGGGCTCCCATCCGGATGGCTTCAATCTGCATCCCAGCCCGGAAGATATAGCCCACGCCCTCTACGACATTGTCAACCAGTTCCAGTGGTCCCGCTTTATATTCTGCTATGAATCCGGTTGGTGGTCCTAACTAAAATCTAAAATCTATACTAATTCCTGGCTTTAAACTAAAGCTGAGTACCTGAATATTTTGGACCACCTAATGACCCTGTATGGCGTCAAGGGTCCCGTCATTAAGGTGATGCGCTACGATCTCAATCTGAATGGTAACTACAAATCGGTGCTGCGGCGCATCAGGAAATCGGAGGACAGTCGCATTGTGGTCGTGGGCTCCACAGAGGGCGTGGCCGAGCTGCTGCGTCAGGCCCAACAGGTGGGCATAATGAACGAGGACTACACCTATGTGATTGGTAACTTGGACCTGCACACCTTCGAGCTGGAGGAGTACAAATACAGCGAGGTAAACATCACAGGCATAAGGATGTTCTCACCCGATCAGGAGGCAGTAAGGGATCTGGTTGAAAAGTTGCACCAGGAACTGGGGGAAAGTGAACCGGAAAATACTGGTAAGTTTCCTAGATTTTACCAGTTATTAGTTATGTTAATATATCTGTGAGTTTTCCTTTTTGAGGTTCCACATCCATCACCATGTCCATGGCTCTCACCTATGATGCAGTGCGTGTAATAGCAGAGACAACAAAGCATCTTCCCTATCAACCCCAAATGCTCAACTGTTCCGAGCGCCATGACAATGTTCAACCTGATGGTTCCACTTTCAGGAACTACATGAGATCGGTTAGTAATATTCATTAAGTATTATACCTCTTACTTAATACATACTTTAAACAGTTGGAGATCAAAGAGAAAACCATCACAGGTCGCATCTTTTTCGAGGGAAATGTGCGCAAGGGTTTCGCCTTCGATGTCATCGAACTGCAGACCAGTGGATTGGTCAAGATCGGCACTTGGGAAGAGGGCAAGGACTTTGAGTTCGAGCGGCCACCCCAAGTGGTTAACTTTAATGACATCGATGACAGTTCTCTGGTCAACAAAACCTTCAAGGTTCTAATATCTGTGGCGGTACGCTATCATTATCATAGGTCATTTAAATCATTTAAGTCATGGGTTTTATAAATTACAGACCCAACCGTATGCTAGTCTCGTGGAGAGTATTGACACACTCGTTGGCAACAATCAGTACCAGGGCTATGGAGTGGATCTGATCAAAGAGTTGGCCGACAAGCTTGGCTTTAACTTCACCTTCCAAGATGGTGGCAATGACTATGGATCTTTTAATAAGACAACCAATTCCACGACAGGAATGCTCAAGGAAATAGTAGAAGGGGTATGATGCGAGATTAAATGATTACCGATCGAGAGTGAATACAATTTATAATCTAAATAGCGAGCTGATCTGGCGATCACTGATCTCACCATCACTTCGGAGCGAGAAGAAGTCATTGATTTTTCCATACCCTTTATGAATCTGGGTGAGTTTTATAGCCTAAACATTTAGTTTCATAATCTGATGATTTATTCAATTTACCTAGGCATACAAATTCTATATGTAAAGCCTCAGAAGGCTCCACCCGCCCTCTTCTCCTTCATGGACCCCTTTTCATCGGAGGTGTGGCTCTACTTGGGTATAGCCTATGTGGGTGTCTCGCTCTGCTTCTTTATTATAGGTCGACTATCGCCCATTGAGTGGGATAACCCCTTTCCCTGTATTGAGGAGCCAGAAGAGCTGGAAAACCAGTTCACCATCAATAATTCCCTATGGTTTACTACAGGAGCTTTGTTGCAGCAAGGCTCGGAAATTGCGCCGAAGTAAAAATATTAACTATTGACTTAGGATTTTAATTACAATATATATTTATACTATCATAGAGCTCTCAGCACGCGTACAATTTCCGCTATTTGGTGGTTTTTCACCTTAATCATGGTATCATCATATACTGCCAACTTGGCTGCCTTCTTGACCATCGAGAATCCCACCAGTCCCATTAACAGCGTTAAAGACTTGGCTGAGAATAAGGAAGATGTTCAGTATGGAGCCAAGCGTACGGGTTCCACACGCAACTTCTTTTCGGTAAGTGTAAGCATCTGCAAGAACCCATAAGTTTACATTCTACTTGAATTCGAAGACATCGGAGGATCCGCTCTATATGAAAATGAACGAATACCTGAACGCTCATCCGGAAATGCTGATGGAGAACAATCAGGATGGAGTGGACAGGGTGAAGGCAAGCACCAAGTACGCTTTTCTCATGGAATCCACTTCCATTGAATTTAATACGGTTAGGGAATGCAATCTCACCAAAGTGGGAGATCCGCTGGATGAGAAGGGTTACGGCATAGCTATGGTGAAAAGTGGGTATCCTTAGTACTAATACTATTAATCGGGTGTAATAACAAGGCTTCCACAGATTGGCCCTATCGCGATAAGTTCAACAACGCCCTGTTGGAGCTGCAGGAGCAGGGGGTCCTGGCCAGGTTGAAGAACAAGTGGTGGAACGAAGTGGGAGCCGGTGTTTGCAGTGTAAGTTTCTGGTGGACCAATAAAAACAGCATCCGACCATCATAAAAATACTCGTTGCAGGCGAAAAGCGATAGTGATGGCCCTTCTGCGTTGGAAGTGGAAAACCTGAGTGGCATTTACGCTGTCCTGGCCATCGGATCCATTATCTCGATGATTGTCGCCATTCTTTGTTGGTGCTTTTTTGTTTTCAAGAAGTCTAAACACTATGCGGTACAGTAAACTATTAACACTGCCTTAACGACCTTAAAAGCAATATTATCCTCTCCTAGGTCCCCTTTTGCGATGCCCTGGCTGAGGAATTCAAAATTGTTATCCACTTCTCGGAAAACGAAAGAGTTCTGAAAAGCGCCCAGTCGATTTACTCCCGCAGTCGAAATTCATCTCAGTCGATAGAGTCCCTAAAAACAGATTCTGAGGAGAATATGCCGGATGAGGATTAGAATTGAGATTTTTTTTCTCTCCAAAGTTTCGGCAAAGCTTTTCGAATATTTCACTCAAAACGATTTCCAAATTGACATTTTGGAAGCAAACGTCAGTTGTGGCTTTTCACTCGAAGTGTTCGGTTCGGAAAGCAGATTTCTTAGTTCTTTTAGTCCAATATATATATATAGATATATGTATTTGCTTCAAATAAAAACCATATAAAATGTTTAGCAATAATTTTATAATTTTGTTGACGATTTTTTGCATTAAAGTTTCGGGTAACAGCGCTCAGTATGAGAACAATGGCGGCTACGACAACTTTCAAAGTATCGGAAGTGTTCCGATTGGTAAGTAATTTCGAGAAATAACCCAAAAAACTCATTTGAAAAATGTGTGTCGCGTGAGCACTTTTTTTCGTCGTGCAGTTCCAAACAAACTGTTTTCAACGCGCGATTTATTTTTAATTTCTCATAAAGAGAACAAGCTGTTCGTTCCATCAACGCTGAAAGCTCGTAAAAACGGTTTTAGTATTTGTTTGTTTGTTTGGGTTTTCCGACTGAATGGGATGATTAGGTCAAGTTGTTGTTTATAAACAAACCGGCAAGAGAGAAATGGCCAAAGTGGATGTGAGAGACTTTCTCGGTTTCAGGCCTACTCACCGACCAGAACACGGAGCAGATGAACATAGTCTTTGACCATGCCATCGATGTGGCCAATCAGGAGCTGGGCACGACCTTGACATCGCTGAAGGAGGAGGTGAACTACGGCGATGCCTACCAGAGCTACGGCAGATTGTGCAGAATGCTGGAGGTAAAGATATATAATCGGAAATAAGAAGTTCTTAAAAATTATAGAAACTAGATTATAGGATAAACAATATCAATAATATTTAAAATTCTTTAAGATTTCTTTGAGTGTATATTTGTATTAAAATTCATATTTTTCAAAACATTATTAACATTATTTATTTTAAGAAATACATTTGTGTTTATTAGACCCCAAATAAATGTAATTGTACCATTAATATGCCAATTTAATTATTTTTTAAACAATCTTTTATTTATAATACTAACCTTCCATTTTAATGAGCTTCTCATATACATTTTTAAAGTAAACAATTAACTTTTCATTACTTTTCAAAACTTTTTATATTAGACTGGCGTCGCGGGCGTGTTTGGACCTTCGTCGCGGCACACTGCCGTCCATCTGATGTCCATATCCGATGCCATGGATATACCCCACATCTACTCCCACATGAGCGAGTATGCGGAGGGCTTCAATCTGCATCCGCATCCGAGCGACCTGGCCAAGGCACTACATAGCCTTATTATGGCCTTTAGCTGGACTCGATTTATTTTCCTCTACGAATCGGGTGAGCTGTCTTTGTCAACGGAATGAATGGGCTTCTTTAATAATTTTCAAATCGCTCGCAGCCGATTACCTGAACATTTTGAACGAACTGTCCGCCTTGTTCGGGATGAATGGACCCGTGGTCACGGTGCTGCGATACGACATGCAACTAAATGGGAACTACAAACAGATCCTCCGGCGCGTGCGAAAGTCCGAGGATAAGCGAATTGTGGTCGTGGGTTCCAGCGAGACGATGCCGGAGTTCCTGAACCAGGCCCAGCAAGTGGGCATAATCAACGAGGACTACAAATACATTATTGGCAACCTGGACTTTCATTCCTTTGACTTGGAGGAGTACAAGTACAGTGAGGCCAATATAACTGGGCTGCGATTGTTTTCGCCGGAGAAGATGGCCGTCAAGGAACTGCTCATGAAAATGGGCTATCCCACCGATCAGGATGAGTTTAGGAATGGTAAGAAATCCTCTTCGCTGTTATATGATTATGCTCATGGCTAAATAATCGTTATCTTTGAGGTTCCTGTCCCATTACCGTGGAAATGGCTTTAACCTACGATGCCATTCAGTTGTTTGCACAGACCCTAAAGAACCTTCCTTTCAAACCGGTGCCGCAGAATTGCTCACTGAGAACGGAAAGTGTCCGGGATGATGGTTCCTCCTTCAAGAATTACATGCGAACGGTGACTGAAAACTCCCTTATAAAATAAGTATTATTATAATTTTTCTGATTTTTTCAGTTGCGCCTCACCGAACACCTGCTGACGGGACCCATCTACTTCGAGGGAAACGTTCGCAAGGGATACCACCTGGATGTCATCGAGCTGCAGCCCTCGGGTATCGTAAAGGTGGGAACCTGGGACGAGCAGAGGGATTACAGACCCCAGCGACTGGCACCAACTACCGCCCAATTCGATAGCGTTGACAATTCGCTGGCCAATAAGACCTTCGTTGTCTTGCTCTCGGTGCCAGTAGGTGACTACAAGCCATACAAATAAAACCATATTTAATCGCGACGAAATTACAAATTGCAGAACAAACCATATGCCCAACTGGTGGAGACTTTCAAGCAGCTGGAGGGCAATAGCCAGTACGAGGGTTACGGTGTGGATCTGATCAAGGAACTGGCCGATAAACTGGGCTTCAATTTTACCTTCGAAAACGGTGGCAATGATTATGGATCGTACAACAAAACCTCCAATGAATCCACGGGAATGTTGAGGCAAATTATGATTGGGGTTGGAAATAATTTTCTTATTTTGTAAATCCATTATTAAGAATCTATTCTTTCAGCGAGCTGACTTGGCTATCACGGATTTGACCATTACTTCGGAACGCGAACAGGCCATTGACTTTACCATTCCCTTCATGAATCTAGGCATGTAACATTTTCCTTCTCTTAATCAAAATCTTATTACAGCCCTATTGATTTTAGGCATTGCAATTCTTTATTTGAAGCCACAGAAAGCCGCACCCGAGCTCTTTACTTTCATGGATCCGTTCTCCCCGGACGTTTGGTGGTTCCTGGGCCTCTCCTTTGTGGGCGTGTCCTTGAGCTTCTTCATTTTGGGTCGCCTGTCGCCGAGCGAATGGGATAATCCGTATCCTTGCATTGAAGAACCGGAAGAATTGGAAAATCAATTCACTATCGGAAATTCCGTCTGGTTTACCACTGGAGCCCTGCTTCAGCAGGGTTCCGAAATTGGCCCAAAGTATGAAGAATAATTATTATAATTATAATTAATAGATTTCTATTTTTCCCATATCCTTGACAGAGCCTTATCCACTCGAACAGTCGCCAGCTTCTGGTGGTTTTTTACCTTAATTGTGGTGTCTTCCTACACCGCGAACTTGGCTGCCTTCTTGACCATCGAAAAGCCGCAGAGTTTGATCGATAGCGTAGATGATTTGGCAGATAACAAGGATGGAGTTGTCTACGGAGCAAAAAGAACTGGATCAACCAGGAACTTTTTTATGGTATTGTGATAGTTTTATTTCATATGTCATATCCCTTTTTAGTGACATATATATTTCTTAGACATCGGAGGACCCCCGATATAAGAAGATGAATAAATTCATGACCGAAAACCCCCAATATCTTACCGAAGACAACATGGAGGGAGTAAATCGAGTAAAGTCGAGTACTCACTATGCATTCCTCATGGAATCGACTTCCATTGAGTACAATATTAAGCGAGAATGCAATCTCAATAAAATTGGAGATGCTTTGGACGAGAAAGGCTATGGGATAGCCATGAGAAAGAGTAAGTTTAAAATTCCCCTAAAGTTAAATATTAAATTCTTAACTTTGTATCCTATAGATTGGCCGCACCGCGACAAGTTCAATAATGCCCTGTTGGAGCTGCAGGAGCAGGGAGTGCTGGAGAAGATGAAGAACAAATGGTGGAACGAGGTGGGTACAGGTATTTGCCCTACCACCGAGGATGCTCCAGATGCCCAGGCCTTAGATATGAATAACCTAGCGGGCGTGTTCATCGTACTTCTGGTCGGAAGTTGGTGTGCCCTGCTCTACGGCATTATTAGCTGGGTCTTCTTTGTGATGAAGAAAGCTCATCACTATCGGGTGAGTTTTAAATTACGTTAGGACTAACAGCCTGGCTAAAAGTGACTATCATATTTCAGGTCCCGTTGCGCGACGCTCTTAAAGAAGAGTTCCAGTTCGTTATCGATTTTAATAACTATGTACGGATTCTGAAAAACTCGGCTTCCATCTACTCGCGCAGCCGTCAGTCCTCCATGTCCGTTGCATCTGTGGCCCAGGACTCGCAATAGAGTCCTCCGTTTTTCACTACTTTTCAAATTAATGTTTGTTGTCAGTTGGAAATATTGATATTTGTCTCCGTCATAAAAAAACATTTTCATTAATGTACGTTGCAAGATTTATTAAAAGATTTAAATTCTCATTGAACTGATTTATGGAATGTTAAACACTGAAACATTTTTTAGAAATAATAATAAATTATTATCAAACCAGAAATAAACTATGTATTTTGTTCGCATTTTAAGGTTGTTAGATGTTAGACGGAATGTCGAAATCACACCAATAAATTATTTAGCTTGAAAGAGCCACAAAGTATTATACGAAGAGTTGCTGCTTTTAACCGATTTAACCAATTGTTTGTAGAAACTGAGTAAAGACACTTTGCTAAAACTGTTGGATATTTCATAAAGACTTGAACTTAAAAATAAATAAATACGATGTTTTTATAAATGAGATATAAAGTCGGTAAAAGTTCTATTGCACCAAATAAAATCATTTTAATTAGGCAAGAATTTGGCAATCTACCAAAAGCGCACTCAAAGGATAAAGCGACAGTAACTAAATACTTCTCAGCGACTATTCCTGATACCTAGCACCTTTCTTAACAAATTTGTTAGAGGATTATTAAATACGTCAACAAATACTTCGAATGAGATCGAATTTAGGTCCAGTGCTTGGCGCGCCACAGCAGGCAATGGATGTGATTGTCCACATCCGCCGGTGGCAATAATTTGGCTGCACCATGTGTGGGTGTGCTGACGGCAGAGCACATGCTGGATGTCTCTGCAGAGTCCACGTAGCGTGAGATTAGCGAGCGATACCGTCTTCCGATCGTGGCGATCAGGGGCACCTTGTCATTAGAAAGCGTTATAATGGATTTAATCTGTGGGAGAATCAAATAAAAATCAATATCCACAAGAAGAAGGTGAAATTAGCAGTTCTTACCTCATTTTCATAAGGCCGGAACACGCTTATGGGACGCAGGGTGTGCAACTCGGCCACGATTAAGCAACCCCAGGTGGTTCCAATATACAACTCCGTATTGTGAGCCGCCAGCGCCGAAATCTGGCACTTAATCAAGTTCACATGCTCATCAATCGCGATGCTCTGCAGGGATTCGGAACAGGGCAGCAGCTTGGAGCAGTCCAGCTTGTTCTCAATCCGTTTGGACACCACACCCCACTGGTACACCATGCAGCCGGGATATAGACAACTAAAGACGTGACTGTCGTTGCTGCACATGCGGGCCACCTTGACGTCCTCGATTAAATTAGGTTCCTCGCTGTGGCACAAAGCCTGATGGCCGGACACCCCGGTCTCGTTCAACGGGAATACATTTATTTTTCCGGCTATTTCACCGCACCACAGTTCGTAGTTTCTATGGAAATCACACATCAAATATTACAAGATCAGTTGGTAAAGATTTATAAACTTACCCATCGACAAAAACGGAGCAAGCGGCGTGCAAAACAAAACCGGAACAGATCTCCGTGAGCACAAAGGAGCCCTCGGCAAAGGCGCAATTGCTGGGAACTTGAGTGGCGTCCACCAGAAACACCCGACCATTGTGTGTACCCACGGCCACGCGAGCTATCCGCTCCATATAGACCAAACTGATGACAGCTGACTTGATGGCCGGATCAAGCATGTAGGAAAACAAGTGGGCATAGCTAGAGGTGCTATAAGCATGCAGGTTGCCGGAGACGTCGCCCATCCAGATGGCATCGCCCACCAGGCAGCAGCACAGCATGTTCATCTTGGGCAACCGTTGGGCGGAACGAGCCCGTGAGTGGGCACCGTTTTCGGGTGTCTTGGGCGGAGCAACCTGTGGCTGCGGAGAACAACTGATGCTGTTGCACTGCACCAGGCTGCCCGAGGGTGTGCAGTCCAGAATGTCTATGCGGGAACCGAAGGAGGGAAGCCACAGCTCGAGACCACTACGCTCCTCATCGCCAGCGCCGACCAGCGACTGAAAAACTCCACATACAATCTTCTCGCTGTGCGGCATGGCAACCACATCCAGCAGATGGATGCACTCCGGGGCACTGAGTATGGAAACAATCTGACTTGCCGTGGGTCTGCGACGCGGCTGTTCGTGCCAACACAGGACCATGAGATCCAGACAACAGGTTGGGAACTGGGTTTCCCTTTGCGTCAGAGCCGGCCGACTACCCTCCAAGATGCACTCTTTAATGGACTCATGCCCCTCGAAAGGTTGTCGCAAACTGATGTTCTCGTATATGAACATGCCGAAGGAAAAGCAGTCCACCTGGAAATGAAAAGTTAATAAAGTTAAAAGCTCGTAAAAAGAGTTTATTAACCCACCTTCTCAGTATATTCCTCCTCACCGTTGTAACGAATGATCTCGGGAGCCATGAAGCCCTCTGTGCCGCCAAATCCCTTTGCTCCGCTGGGTGCTGTCTGCCTGCTGATTCCATAGTCGGCTATCTTAATGTGCACACGGTTTCGCGGACTGTCCTCGGTGTGAGGCTGTGGAAGCTCCCAAACCAGAACATTTTCCGACTTGAGATCTCGGTAGATTATTCGTCTGCGATGCAGATACTCAATTGCACGAGCAGCCTGCAGTACAAGGGTCTGAAATGTGTGCGGACCCATGTGGGCGCCACTGCGTCGATACTGGCGAAGCAAAGCATCCAGACCACCCAGAGGTGCAAGTTCAAGGACCAGAGCTAATGGTTTAATGCAGATCCCCACCAGGGGCACAATGTTCGGGTGCTTGAGGGTGAGTAGTACAGCCAATTCCTGGCGGGCAGTGCAGTAGGCCTTGCAGGAATGCTGCAGTGGATCCCGGTCCCACTTGCCCACAGCCACTTTAAAAGCCATTAAGGCGCTCTGAAAATGTAGTAAATCCTTTAGCATTGAAAACGATTATCTGTAACTTGAAGTACTCACCTCCTTGGCCCGAGCTCCGGGAGGCACTGGTTGGAGCATTTTCATGGCCACCGGTTTAAATGATCTGGCGCCCCTTACCTTGCAATTCGCCTTAAAGACAAATCCAAAGGCTCCCCGACCAAGCAGCGATCCCTTAATAATGCACTCGCTTGGAATAGTGTGCTTATCGGGAATATCGGCAAATATGACATCCGGCGCCAGCTGAGCCATCGACTGTTCCAGATGGACAGGGCAGCTGATCTTGCTTTGATTGTAAACGGACAGAATGCACTCCTCAATCATCCAGGCGTAGCAAACATTCGAGTTATCGGGCAGGTGATAGCCAGGATGACCGTCCACCGAAGTGTTGCGTGAAGAGCCGGCGGAATCAGGACCCACACCGGAATCTGCATCCGAGCCAGCGCCCAAAGAATCCTCCGATCGGCGCTCCCTCCTTGCTGTGGCATTTAGATACGCAGAGAATACGTTCAGAGCACCATCCTCACCGGGATCACCCACACCGTGCAGGAAGTATGCTCCCGCTCCACGTCTGCTACTTCGACTTGGTCTATTGCATCCCATGGCAGGCAGATCCCGATCCGCGGGTTCGTTGCTGTGCTGCAACTGCAGCTTCCAAAGGCAGCGCGGACACAACACCAATCGAGTGATTAGGAAACGACCCTCCGAGGTGTGCACAAATCGCGTGCCCAACGAAGGATACCAGTCCTCCAGAAGCAGGTCAATGTGATCCACAGTCAGGGCCAACAGCTTGGCCACCTGGGACATGTGCGGCTGGAGCTCAGCCAGCAGCTGACGCTCTCGGTTATCCACTTCCTGGGATATGTTCACTTCGTGAAGTGGAAAGTATACTTCCAGAATGCTCGAGGAGCTCAAATTCACATCGCTCCATATGCCGTCCAGTTTCAACTTGAAGCGATTGCCATTTGTGCGGAAGGGTTGCGTGCGCTCAGTGTTTTGAAAGGGCACTTCCCAGATCTTGAATATCAGGATGGGTCCATAGTACAGAGCTAGGCCAGTCTGCCACAGATTCCATTGGGTGTCCTGCTCCAACGAAGTGCGCAAATCGAAATCCAAGTACTTTTGAGGAATACGAATTGAAATTAGTGTCTTATAACAAAAAAATAATGTCTCATAACCACTTACATCTTGTGCAGCCACATAGGCGCCTCTAATAGCCTCAATTATCTGCTCATCAGCTAGGATCCGCGTGATTAATCTCGACCAGAACCCGGACGGGAAATAAGTCATCAAAAGAATGCGCCGCAGACCTTGATTAGCCGTAGCAGAGGAAGCTGGTGAAGTGAGCGGTGACCTCTGCTCGTAGATCAGATTATTGAGATTCACCTCTTGCGAGACGGAACAGCCCAAACTGCGACCGCGGGAACGTTGCGAAAGTTTCACTGTGCTTCCAGAGTTGGGTGTTGCCGACTCTTGCAATGGCAGCAGGGAGGGAATGAGCAGCGTTCTCGAATCCCACGTTAAAGCCACCTCGAACTTGTTCAATAAGCTAACAATGTAACTAAAAGAAATGGTAGTGAATCAAATTAATATTATAATTTTTTCAAATGTCATATTAAAACCAACCTTCTGTTTCCATTTCCTTGAACCTGAGCACTACGAAACAGCAGCTGAAGATCGTCCAACTTCATCACGCCCGTGGGAGCAAATGGATTAATCTCCCGCACGGTGACCACATGGGCCAGCATGTCGCACAGCCACTGCGGATCGAGAAAGTAGTAGTCCCTCAGCGTTGCATCGTCGTAGTGCAACAAAACTCCATTTTCGTGGCACCATGTGGTGGCCTGCTGCAGCTCAGCGGCATCTCGAAAGCTCTTGTAGTTATGCAGTCGCATCTGTTCGGTGACCAAGCGTCTGTATTGTTCACCATCGAGGACGGGATCTCGGCCAGCAGCACGCAAGTTGCAGGCAATTACATTTACAATGTCCTCCAGGGCAATGTAGCTGGCCGGGATCTTCTGCAGGAGCATGGGCTCCTTGGAGCCAGGCGATCGCAGTTGCATGGCGGTGTCGTAAATGATGTTGGCCAACAAATGGATATTGTGTAGGGTCCTAAAATGGAAAACAATTGTTTTATTAAATCCTTTTACTTCGTGATATAGCTCATTACTAGTCATCGGATTTTAGGTGAAATCGTGTTTTTTTTAATATGATTTAAAGCCACATTTGATTGGTTACATTTTTTTTACAAAAACCTCAATTAAGTTTTGCCTAAATCTAATTATAACTTAATAAATAAAATTTGTAAAAAATGTGTCTTTAAATCGTATTTAAAAAAAAAGATTTCACCTTAAATCCGATGTCTACTCATCACTTACCGACAACTTATTTCGATGGAGTCAATCACCCGCGGCAAACCGATCTTTTCCGCATCAGGAATAGCGATGAACTTTTCACGTATCAGTTGCTGCAGTTGCTCTGCCTGCTGAGGAGAGATAGACTCCCCAACGGCATCAAAATGCGTGCCCACAATGATTACTGGAGAGTTTGGAGCCCTGGCCTGAATGTTGCCCAGCCACTGCAGCAACTCCGCCAGACCCTTGTGACCATCGCTTATGCGCCATAGCACTAGATACAAACTCCTCTTGGACAAGAAGTACTGATGGGTTGCGTAGTACTCCTTCTGACCACCGAAATCCCAGGTGCGAAACACCACGGGGCCATGGGAACCGGGCGCTCGCTTGCGCTTCTCACAAATCCAGGTTCCGATGTCCACGCCCACCGTGGATATATTAGCCCTGGAGGCGGACGAGTGTCGGTGAGATCGAGATGTGCTGCGTGCGTGTCCCATTCGCTTGGCCCAATGATTTTCGCTGGCACGAGATCGATGAGAGCTGGAACTAGAGCCTGAGCCCGCTCCCTGGCGCAGCAAATCCAGCAGAGTGCTCTTGCCGATTCCAGCGACACCCACCACCATTAGCTTCATGCGAGCATACGGCTGAGCATCTTCGTAGATTGACTTGAGGTATCCCACAATGTCCATCGTCTTGTGCTTCTTGCTCTCGATCATCGAACGCAATGGCTCCTGCAGGAGGCAACCGCGCGTGTTTAGATTCCAAAGGCGCGAGAGAAGACCCAAGTGTGGTGGCAGCTCCGTGATATTCACGTTCCCACTTATATTCAACACCGAGAGACTGCTCAGTTCGTGCAGCGAGGCGGGTATCTCCTTCAGGCAGTTGTTGGTCATATCCAGCATCGAGAGGTTGGGAAATATCACCTTTGACCGGTTGACGCCCACCACACTCCAGTCGGCGTCCTCGCTCTCGTTGAACAGCGTTGTGGCGTCGTCGGTTGACAGCTGGATGCGGGTAAGTAGGTTGTCCGCCAGGATCAAAGTGCGCAGCGCCTCCAGGCGCAAATGCCGCCTGTGCCGGCAAACGCTCTTCAGCACTGAGGCACGGAAGGATGTGGCGGAGGAGCTGCTCCCCTTTGAGGAACTGGTTTTGTAAGCTTGCTCCTCCTCCTGCCGACCCTCCGGCAGCTGGACACAACTGTAGCACAGCAGGTGCGGATCCGATTCGGTAATCCGCGGCAAACTGGGCCAGCAAGAGATCTCATTGTGGCTTAGGTCCAACTGCTTTAGTGTAGCCGGATAGCTGGTTACGTGTCCCATGGAACGCAGGCTGTTGTAAGACATATTCAGCCGGGTTAAATTGACCGCCAGACAGGGCAGAGCAGCAGGAATACTGTTGAATAGGTTATTTGCTATATTCAGGCTACTCAGCTGGGAGGAGCCCATGCCAGGTGACTTTCCATCGCCGAAATCCTGCTCATGCTGCCACTTCATGTCATTGTCGGTTATGTCCAAGGAACTTGACCAGAGATTGCGATGCGTAAGCCTCTGCTGCGTCACATTCCTCGGCTTGTTTGACGGCACCTCCTCGTAGGCCTGCAGCTGCAGTTTGTCCAGGCTCAGCAGCGAGCTGCTCGTCTGCATCGGCGGCACTGGGAGATCCCGCAGCAGGTTGAAGGCCACGTTCAGTTCACGCAACTTGGGCGCACGCCACAAGTCGAAGGGCAGCTGTTGGAGCTTGTTGTTCGAAACATCCAGAATGGATAGAGCGGGTAGGTGAAAGATGGCCGCCGGCAGAGTAGTCAACTGGTTGTCCTGCAGAAAGAGCTCGTCCAGAACCGGGCAACCATATGACTTACCCAGCGGCGCGGGCAGATCGGTGATCTTGTTTTGAGCCACATTTAGATACCTAAGGGAAATTATTTATTATTAATTTAGCAATATAAAGTACATAATTAATAATAAACTCACTTGAGACTAACCAGATGAAACAATTCCTGCGGAATTGCCGTGAGAAGATTGTGCGAAAAGTCAATTCTCGTGATGGCGGTCAGAGCAACCTCGTCCAGTCGGGGATGCGACTGCAGCTTGGGATTCAGCAGCAACACCCCGCTGACCATCCAGGGCACTCTTACCACCGACAACTGGACACTGGAGCCCATGCTGTGCCAGTCGATGATGGTGGGTACGTTGGGAAACATGGCGCTGTAGGATATGTTGCTGGTGGAAGGCAGAAACACGTTCACCTCCACCGGCGTGGGAAGGCCCTTCTTGTTAATCTTGTAGTCCGAGTCCGGATGGACGCGTCGTGCCAGGAGGCGACTCAGGATGGCCTCGTCGCTGCCCGTGATGGCCATTCCGATGGCCGAACCATTGTCGTCGCGGGCTCCATGTTTCAGGAGGAGATCCAACATGGCCAGGGACCTTTGCTTGCAGGCCTCTGCAATGGGAACATTGCTCAGTCCGTAGATCTCCTCGCAGCACTTGGGGTCGTTGTGATCTTCCACTGGCTTGGCCACAATATTCGGATTTGCTCCGTGCTGCAGCAGAGACTGCACCACATCGAGATGTCCGCCGCGAACAGCGGCTAACAAAGCTGTTTCCCTCGCTGCTCCACAAAGCAAATTTACATTAATGGGACACCTTTGGCATTCGGTGGACTCGGCGGATGACTGGTCTTCGACTCCCTCCGAATCACCAGATATGTGCAGCTTGGACATGATGGCCTGAATGCCAAACGAAATGCGTTTCCTGGTGGGCGTGATGGGAGTGCTCACGGAGCTGGCGGAATCGCCCAATGTGCGCCGGCAGTGGAGCTGCCACTTGAGCAGCACTCCAACCAGCTGCTTGTTGCCCAAAATGCTGGCTATATACAAACTTGTCTGGCCCGTCACATCGTGGGCGTTGGCGTCGAAGGGCAGCCGCCACTCCCACTGACCCTCCTCGTCGCGATATGTCTGATAGAGGTAGTCGGGATAGCTGTAGCTGATGAGCAGTTCCAGCAGCTTGATGTGTCCATTGATGCAGGCCGCGTGCAGCGGCAGCCAGCGCTCTACAGTCGGTTGCTGGATGAGTTCCGGGAAGCGGTCGAGCATCAGCCGAGCGATGCCTAAATGTCCGCTGTGAACGGCGGCGTACAAGGGGGAGTACTTGGTGACCGCATGGGAGCGACCATCGGCTCCGGCATCTAATAAACGCTGTGTGATGCTCTCGTAGCCGGACTGGCAGGATCTAAAGGGATAAATGGGTCATATTATGGGTCGTAAGTTACTAAGTTAGGTAACTTTCTCACATGAACAGCAGGGTATTTGCTCCCGAAGGAGCCATATTGACTATAATCTGCCGCTCGGTTCCCAGGGCCGCCAGCAGCACCCGCACGGTCCGCTCATCCCCGGCGCTCACTGCCGTCCTTAGTTCTCCATGCTTGATCTGCCGCACTTCCTCGCGGGCATCTGTGAAAAAAGAGCAATCTCTTTGTTAGGCATATGTTGGTGGAACAGCTTGCTACCCCACCCCGTATTGAGGATGCCTCAATGACCTCATCCACGAAATAGTCGCAGGCCTCCAGAGCGGTTTCAGTTCCCGGCTTCGGCTGCTCCATGCTGAATTTCCAAGACATTATGTAACCCAAATCGATGCCGTGCGGACCAAAAATATAATTGGCATCGGCGGAGTGGACCGAACGCGTCGCTGGCGAAAACTGAACTGGGGAAAATCGATGGCCGTTGCCCGGGCCACGTTTTTGTGGTCATTGATCCAGGCCGGATTGGGACGCACTGCGCAAGACGAGACTAAAGAAGCACGGCAACTGTTGCACGTGGTCAAGGACTGGCCGTGGATGCGTGGCATTTGTTTTGTTTTGATTTATCGCGTGGGTGTCGAATGGCCCAGTGGTTGCAGCGCACCAGTTGCTTTCGGGGGAGATGTGGTTGCATTTTCAAATTGAACATTTTGCGCGCCCCCATTTCCATTGCACCAGAGTCACCCTGTGCGTGTAATTGGTGTTGTTGAAAAACCAATAACAACTGGTTGGGTTATTTTGCAAATGCAATTATTAGGACAGCAATTAATGTTCATTTTCGCTTTAAATTTGTAGTAGTAATTGCACAAAACTAACATTTAAAGACTGGTTTCCATAGGATTTTGTCTCACCTTCATCGGAGTCACTCATTGTTTTGTGTAGAGTATTTTAGCAGATCCTTAAGTCGTTCATCTTCCACTTTCTATTGCTTTGGGTGTTGCGAACAAGGGCCTAGTTTTAGCACCTGTTTTCGAGTCTCATTTAATTATTTTACACATTTTGCGAAATTTTCACTTTGTTTACCTTTTTTGAAGTGATACCGTTTCTTGTTTGGCAAAAAACGCTAAAGAAATATGTAACAGAGTATCTTCGGCACAATAAGTGCTGTTAAGCGCAAAGCGTGAAATTGCAGTGACTGTTATTGGGTTTAAAAAAAAACTTAAAATTAAACTAATTTTAACAGAAATATGTAGCATAAAAAGTAACTATACAATTCAGAAACGAAAAATCAAACTGAATATTCCCTCGCCAAAACCTTGCCTACCTGTGAATCACCCATGAATGACCAATGCTGATTCACCCCTGACTCATACATAACATAACAATTGATTTTTCCGTTGTTTGAACTTTTATATCATGTCAAAGAGTTCCTAAATTCCTTATTTTAACTACATTACTTTTTAAATATCACTCTTGTTCCTGTCAATCCTGCGTTATATCATTATGACGACTCTTCTGGAATCTTATTCTTCTTTTGCATGCGTTGTTTTTAATACATTGCATGGCTTTTCTGAGCGACTTCTCCGCAGGCTGAGACCTATCGGTCAAACGAACAGCCTCTGAAAGTAAATATTACTCATAAAATGGGTGTAAAATATTACATTTATATTGTAACCTACCTAGAAGGGCGGAGAAAAAATTGGTGTATGTTCGCAGGCATTTTTTGTTTTGCGTCCCATCCACATTGAAGGCCACGACAAGTTCTGCAGCCAGAACTTTTTTCAACGATTTCGAAAGAGGCGATTGACTAAAGATGTTCTTCATCTCATTAACCTGTGGGCAATATAAACAATTATTATCCGTTGAATTTGAATCAGATAATTATAATCACTTACATATAATACTTGAATGTCCGGCTTCATATTACTGTCTATGACAAACAGATCATCCTCTGTTTTTAATGGAAAATTGGTGACAATTTGTGAGGAACCGTTCTCCTGACGGTTAAATAATTCCTTGATTAGCTCCTTTTGAGAGGCCACTGTTTCAGCAAGCAAGGTGACGGACCTTTTGAGCGATTCAATGGATCCCCTAAGTTCTTGATTTTCAGCTGCAATATTTAACATATTATTACATGTTAATATACAGTTTAAAAAGTTAGTAAACTACCTCTAATTACAGATATTATACGTTCCTCTGCTGTTGGTTCCAGCTGACCATCTTCTGTGAAAACAAACAAAATTACAAACTGGCAGCATGCACTTTTATTAGCTTTTGTTAAACACTTGCCTGGTTCGATCTTAATCCTCTTTTCGAACGGCTGGCCTTCTGAATTTTCCATTTTTAACCGATTTTATCCTTTTGGTTGTTCTTTGGTTTGGTGCTTGTTTGTTTGCTATTGTGTTGCCAGATGAAAATGTTGCTTTCCCCCTAAAAAATCCAGTGAACTCTTAGGCGAAACTCTTACCACTTTGTGACTCTCTTTCCATTTTCTACGCTCTTACCTCGCTCTGCCTCTCTCGCTCACCTTTTTGATTGCACTTCACGTTGTTTACAAGACGCTGAAAGCGGGCTGCCAACCGAATTTCGACATCAGGAAAGTGTCTCCGCTATGTCTGGCCGCAGTCACCCTGTGGGAGGGTGTCTCCGCTATGGCTGTGCAAGAGTGACCATTTGCAATTGGAACTTGTTCCACCTCTAGCGAGTCAAGAGCTACCGCCGATTGCAGTCACCCTGTGGGAGGTTAACAGACGCTTAACAGCACGTAATTCAACAATACAAATAAAAACAATAAAATTGTTAAATATTCTTAAATCCAACGCGAGTGCGGGCCAATTGCACGTTGCATTTGAGACACGACAATAGTGCGGGATGGCCGAAAGTGGCCAAAAGTGAGTGCCGGAGCTGGAAAGCAAGTAAGGAGCAGCAGAAACTGCGCAGCTCACACCCAAAAAAAACGCGATAAAGGCGAGGGCCAAAATGCAGATGAAAAACAAAAACAAACGGGCCAGGCCAAAAAGCCAGTGAAATTCGGATTACAAGTTGGCGATTCGTGTGCTTCTCAGGCTCTTTCGGCCGCCTGGCTGCAATTTCCATATTTTTGTGGCATCGCGACTTAGAGATGAGACATCGGTGCCGCGTAACTTTTTAGGATACCCTTTCCGCCACCAAAACTCCACCTGTTCGGTCATGGAATTTGACCCGTCGCCTTTGAAAAGTGCCCTTAAAAGCTTAGATTCTTTGAATCTAAACTACCTTATCAGCAGAACCTTACATTAGGTTCCTAATTTCCTTAATCTTAATCATTCAATTCACTTAAACTATCCAAAAACACCTTGTTAGGGCATTCAAAGGTCGCCTAAGTTCACCCTGAATTCTTGTTTTTGTTTTTAAGTTGACCCCCCCTCCCACCATCAACTTTTGACTGTGTGATTCATACTAAATATAAAGTCAGCGTTTTTGTTTTAATTAACAAGAACTAACGATTTGGAGGCAGGGGTTTCTTTCTAAATTAAAATCATGGAGGTTACAGGCGGTTGGAACCCACTTAGAATCGGGGATCTCTGCAGATCTATAGATACACTTCTTATCAAATCGGGTGGGCGGTTGATTTTTTGGTAATTTCCGTAATTAGACACCAAAACAATTGTCGGTATATATCACTAGTAACCCGGCGCCACCTTCCCATTTATTTCACAGAGATTGGCGAGCTGATTTAAATGGAAAACTTTGAAAACAACAAACTGTTGATAAGGCAACAAGCGAAATGCCAACTAACTAAGCTAAAAGACGCCACAGAGAAAGTTAACTAGGAGGAGCAGGAGGAGGAGGAGCTGGTAATCCCGCCGATCTGCGATCAAATGGCCATGATGGACAACCGGTCGCTGGCCTACGTTGCCCACCAGCCCAAGTACGAGCCACCTCTGCCGGAGGAGGAGCTGGAGCCGCCCTGCATGCGCTTCTCGGTGAATCTGTGGAAGAACGAGCCGCTGGACTGCGTGGAGCTGATCTGCCTGCTGCCCAATGGCTTCCTGCTGGGGCTGCGCGTCAATCCGGCGACCACCATCCAGATGGTCAAGGCCGAGATGGTCAGCCAGGCCAAGCGGATGGCGCTGAGCTGGATGATCAAGGAGGCCTGCGAGTACCAGGTGTACGGCATCTCCACCTTCAACATAGAACCCTACACGGATGAAACCAAGCGGCTGAGCGAGGTGCAGCCGTATTTCGGGCTGCTCAGCCTGGGCGATCGCACGGATGCGACCAGCTTCAGCAGCGACTACGAGTTAACCAAGATGCTCAGCGGGATGATAGGCAAGTCCTTCGATCACCACAGGACGCAGGGCACCCCAGAGATCGATGACTTCCGGCTGTGCATGACGCAGATCTGCGAAAACATCGAGGTGGAGCGATCCGTCTACACCTGGCAGCAGCGACTGCTCTACGAGCATCCCCTCCGACTGGCCAACTCCGCGAAGATGCCCGAGTTGATACGAGAGCGTCATCCCACCCGGACCTTCCTCATTGTGGTGAAGAACGAGAACGACCAGAGCACCTTCACGCTGTCGGTGAACGAGCAGGACACTCCCTTCTCGCTGACGGAGAGCACGCTGCAGAAGATGAACCGGTCGCAGATGAAGATGAACGACCGCACCGCCGACTACATACTCAAGGTGAGCGGTCGCGACGAGTATCTGCTCGGCGACTATCCGCTCATCCAGTTCCTGTACATCCAGGAGACGCTCTCGGACTCGGCGGTGCCGAATGTGGTGCTGCAGTCGGTGTACCGCCTCGAGTCGTACATCAATCACCACAACGAGCAGGCTTTGGTGCCGAAGCGACCGCCGCCGAAGAAGCAGCCCGCCCTGCTGCCGCCGCCCAAGTTGCCCTCGTCGCTGTGGGACATGGGCAACTACTTCCAGCTGACGCTGCACAGCATCTCCAATGTGAACTACGACAAGGCGCGCGCCTTCAAGGTGGGCGTGCATGTGGGCCTCTTCCACGGCGAGCACAAGCTGTGCGCCCAGCGATCGACGGACTCGCCCAACGGCAGCTTCGACACCTTCCTGTTCAACGACCTGAAGATGGACTTTGACATCCAGATGCGCAACCTGCCGCGGATGACGCGCCTCTGCATTGTGATCTTCGAGGTGACCAAGATGTCGCGCTCCAAGAAGTCGTCCAACAGCAAGGATAGTGCTTTGAAGGACGTCTCCTACAACAAGAACCCGCTGGCCTGGGTCAACACCACGCTGTTCGACCACAAGGACATCCTGCGCACCGGCCGCCAGACGCTGTACACGTGGACGTACGCGGACGACATCCAGTCGGACGAGGTCTTCCATCCGCTGGGCACCATCGAACCGAATCCGCGCAAGGAGGAGTGCGCCCTGGTGGACCTGACATTCCACAGCAGCGGCACCGCAAGCGTGCGCTATCCCAGCGAGGAGGTGGTGCTGCAGTATGCCGCCGATCGGGCGCAGGCCAGTCGGCTGCAGCAGCAGCTGTCGGCGGAGGCGGAGAAGCCGATCAAGGAACTGAAGGACCTGGTGGCCAACTACACGGGTTTGGATAAGATCTACGAGATGGTCGATCAGGACCGCAATGCCATTTGGGAGCGCAGGTAAGGCTAAGGAATGCATTGCGTGAATCATTCCATTTTTGTTTTATCATAGCATGCCATGAAATTATTGATTTGCTTAATTCAATTCTATGTGAAATAAATTCATTTCGAATTGAATGAATGAATAAATAATTTTTACGAATTTTCTGAATTTGCCAGATTTTGTTTTTGCTTTCTTTTGAGAACAAAAAGTGGTACCCTTTTTTACAAATCAATGTTCACTGCTTAGAAAATAAAATTCATGCAGATTTAATCACAAAATTATGGCCCTTTCTTTTTCAAAAGAAATTGTCGTTTGAATTATTTCGAAATTCATGTTATTCATTCATTCAATTCTATTGAACTCAAAATTCAAATTCATTTAAGTCTATTAGACTCAAAATTCTAATTAATACATTCATATAAAAAAAAAAATTCAAAATAATTCATTGAATCCATTCATGTAGGGCTCTTTTAACAGTTGGAGTATTTCCTAATAACGATTCTCTGATCTTTGCAGAAACGACATCATGCGCGAGCTGCCCGAAGAGCTGTCCATCCTGCTGCACTGCGTCTACTGGAAGGAGCGCGACGATGTAGCGGACATTTGGTACCTGCTCAATAAATGGCCGCTAATTTCTATAGAACGCTCCCTGGAGCTGCTGGACTACGCGTATCCAGATCCGGCCGTACGACGATTTGCCATTCGCTGCTTACACTTTCTCAAGTAAGAAGTGCTACTACTTTGTAGCTTCAACTTATTAAAACGATAATTTACAGAGACGAGGACCTGTTGCTGTATCTCCTGCAACTGGTCCAAGCCATCAAGCACGAATCGTATCTGGAAAGCGACCTGGTGGTCTTTCTGCTGGAGCGAGCGCTGCGCAACCAGCGCATCGGACACTACTTCTTCTGGCATCTGCGCTCCGAGATGCAGACGCCGTCCATGCAGACGCGGTTCGGCCTCCTGCTGGAGGTCTACCTCAAGGGCTGCAAACATCACGTGGCGCCGCTCCGCAAGCAGCTGCATGTGCTGGAGAAGCTGAAGCAGGGATCTCTGATAGCCAAGAAGGGCGGCAAGGAGAAGGTGAAGACCATGCTGCAGGACTTTCTGCGGGACCAGCGCAACTCGGGTGTCTTTCAGAACATCCAGAACCCGCTGAATCCCAGCTTCCGGTGCAGCGGCGTCACCCCAGACCGGTGCAAGGTGATGGACAGCAAGATGCGTCCGCTGTGGGTGGTGTTCGAGAACGCCGACCTAAACTCGAACGATGTGCACATCATATTCAAGAACGGCGACGATCTGCGCCAGGACATGCTCACGCTGCAGATGCTGCGGGTGATGGACCAGCTGTGGAAGCGCGATGGGTAAGCCAAAGGGCAGCCAAAGCAAACAGATCGAGTAATAAATTCCCCCTTCTTAGCATGGACTTCCGCATGAACATCTACAACTGCATCAGCATGGAGCAACGTCTTGGAATGATTGAGGTGGTGCGACACGCCGAGACCATTGCCAACATTCAGAAGGAGAAGGGCATGTTCTCGGCCACGTCGCCCTTCAAGAAGGGCTCGCTCCTCAGTTGGCTGAAGGAGCACAACAAGCCCGCCGACAAGCTAAACAAGGCCATCAACGAGTTCACCCTCAGCTGTGCTGGCTACTGCGTGGCCACCTACGTGCTCGGAGTGGCCGATCGGCACTCGGACAATATAATGGTCAAGAGAAATGGACAGGTGGGTGAAAAGCCATAATTTGTCGTGGAATTTATTTAAAACTTCATCTTTTCCTCAGCTCTTTCACATCGATTTTGGCCACATCCTGGGCCACTTCAAGGAAAAGTTTGGAGTGCGTCGGGAACGAGTGCCCTTCGTGTTGACCCACGATTTTGTGTACGTGATCAACAAGGGTTTCAATGACCGCGAGTCGAAAGAGTTTTGTCACTTTCAGGAATTGTGCGAGCGCGTAAGTCTAAAGGAAATTGTTACCCATCTTGCGAAATTCTAATATTATTTACTTTTGCAGGCCTTTTTAGTTTTACGCAAACACGGCTGCCTTATTTTATCGCTGTTCTCAATGATGATTTCAACGGGACTGCCAGAACTTTCCTCCGAAAAGGATTTAAACTACCTACGTGAAACTTTAGTGAGTCATAGAAAACTATTTGAATGCGAAGCTCGTATTAATTCATGGCAATATTCTGTTACAGGTGCTGGACTACACGGAGGAGAAAGCACGCGAACATTTCCGAGCGAAATTCAGCGAAGCTTTGGCCAACTCCTGGAAGACTTCCCTTAACTGGGCCTCGCACAATTTCTCCAAGAACAACAAACAGTAAACGACAACTACATCGAACATCAAGAAGTTGGCCACACGATCGATTCGAAGTCAACTTCATCTCCCCCACACCAAGTCTAAATGGATCCACTTTTCTTTTCTGCCTGCCTTTCTGAGCCTCTGCCACAGGCGTAGTACAATTTCGTATCCAATTCATAAAGTTCAAAACTATGTGTTCACTATGTTAGGCCGAGATATATCCAAACCCCACACAGACAACCCTTGACCCATAGCTGATAATGTCGCTCCCACAAGTGCTCCAATATACTTTACTGTTAATTTGTACATTTACGCGTTCACCCATTCTTGTAATTCTTATCATTTATCGCCCCCTCATACAGTGACCTTTGGACCCTGGAATTGTTTTGTTGTCTATTATTCATTTGTTGTTTAAACACCCCCCCGCACATGCACACTCGCGCTGAATGTGCAACAAAAATTGTATCCTATTATGATATATTAATTTAAGAGACATTTAACTCTATAAGTTTAATATTAACGATTTCTATCCCTACATTACGTTAATTGTGTACTATATAATTTGTGTCTGCCTTTGTACCAGCAAGAAATCATTATTTCCGTGTTTTCCGGTTTCATTTTATAATGTTCTCTAATATTTGTAACGTATTTTGTAAATCGCTGGATAACTACAATTAAATGAAACAAATTAAATATATAAATGAACGAATGTATACAATTTAATCGAAAGAAGAAAAATAAACATAGATACATAATATGTGTTTGATCCCAAGCGTGGCTTGTAGATCAATATAAGTTTCTATACGAGGCCTCTTCCCGGAGGTCAGAAAGGAAGACCGCGGAGTTATAAGATGTGTTGATAACTGATTTATTGTGAATTTCGTACTAGCTTATATACTACTTGGATAACACGGAAGTTTAGTGTAAAGAATAGTGGAATTGGTTGTATTCTGGAGTAGGTCAGAACGCTTTGATTATGGTAGCAGTTTGCATAGTTGGGTCGGTTGACTCTGCAGAAAGTGCTGACTGCTTGGCGGGTCAGTGAGACATCGAGTCAACCGTTGACATTGACTATGTAGAATATGCTGATCAGCAAATAGTATCTGCCGTGGGTGTAACTGGACGCCTGATACTGTAACCAATAATACCACTGCTAGAGTTGTTGGTCGTTGATTATGATGAGCAACATAGAGTACGAACGTTGGTCATGTTGAGCAACATTGATAACGAACAATATGCTTCTCCGTTTACTGCATTCGTCTCAACAATTTATGTTTTTCTTGAATGGGATTAGCAGACTAATCGCTCCATCTAAAAGTCAGACGTCCCCAACTGAACAACAGCAAGATTGTGTATTAGTTTTCATACATTTAGTATAAGTTTTTATTGACATCAAGTATTCAGTTTCAGTATATATACCTATATAAAATATATTCTTTAAAATTAATTTCGTTTCCGTTACTTTACACACATTTCAACATCACGAGATGAAGTATTTTGAAACCCTTTGCTTATTCCTCGTTTTTCCAACATTGTTTTCGGGTTTGCGCACATTGTTCGACAATGCACGTAGTACATGTGCTTAACAACAGCAACTCTCAAAAGACATCGATATTTAAATTATAAACACTACGATTCAATAAAACAAGAACGTCGTACACAGTACCGTTGTAAAAGTAAAAATAAAATAATAGTCCCTAGACGCCTAACTAACTAACTAGTCAGTAGATAGTAAAAACCGTATGGAATTTGTATGGAAATTTTATTTATATTCGTTTAATTTATCTTTTTTGTAACGCTTACTAAAAATTGTAGCCGAATGGGACTTGCTTAACAATTTTCCAACTGGATTCCATGTCATGACTTGAAAATCATCTGAAGCTATTAATTTTTCCATTGGAAAATATTATTTTTTTCTTCCTTGAGCAGTCGGTTATTTTCTTACAAATTCGGCGTCAGTAAAATATTAAGCAAGTTTCAATCGGCCTTGTGCAATCTTTTCTCGACCTCTTATGGAATTTTTTTTATTCTGCGTAATCAGATACAAAATATACAGTATTTTGTTAAAATCCGTTATAAAAATAGGTATATTAGATATATTGGTTATTTCTCGTGTATCGGTTTACTTTGTTGTCGTGTAAAAATACTGTATTTACAATTACAACTATTTACTTACACATTATCATATCAGTAAATATAAATAGTCATTTGATTTTATAAATAATTTAGAAAATATGAGAAACCGCGTTTTGTTTTTGTCTTTTTGCGTTAGGAATATGTTTTTTATTTGTATCAGTTTCAGTTGTACGAATTCCGGTTTGAAATTGTCTGCTTAGGATCTTTTTGCTTTCCATTTTTTGTAAATATTTTGTATATGTGAATTTTTGTACATTTTCATTTGTTTTTGATTGGACAGCATTGACAGTGAATTTGTACTGGGTAAAGATGTACAATATTTAGAGGGTTACAGCAATTGTGAAGGTGAAATTTAGATCCGTAGAGGATTTAAACTTGAACTTCACAAAGGACCTTTTGAAGTTATGATAAAAAAGAAATGTGCTTAGAGTCAATTAATGAATTCATTAACTAGAAAAAAACTCATTCAATGTCTCTTTGAAATAGGGTAAAATTTTGGTAGAAATTGTTCGATTTTTGAACTTTTTTAGAATTGAAAATTCAAAATGAATTCAAAAATGCATTGCGTCGACTTAGTAGACCATATTTTTAATCGTATAAAATCTACCCAATACAAATTCCTGTCACTTGCTTTTTGGACCTCGATATTTAGGATATCTATCTATAGTTCGTTTTTAGTAAATTTGTTTTCTGTTTTACACATTAATTTTTGTATCCCTAGTTTTGTTTTCATCGTTAAAGGCACAAGCATTTTATAAAAATCTGTTCTTGTAGTTTTGTTAAATATACTTTAAAAAGTTATCTGCTGCGATCCGTAACTAAGTTTTCTTTTTTTTCTAAAAAAATTCAGGTTCAGTCTGTTTCAAGGAAATGTTTTGATGAAAAAAACGTAACTCTTTTTTGAGATTCTTCAAGACTTGCATTTTATACATCCTATAGAAAAATGTTTTTGTTAGTATTACTTTTCATTAGTCGGCATAGAATAAAATTCCTTTGCATATTAAATATGTTTGTCGAAAATTCCATTTCTCAACTGATTGTATAAAAAGTTCTGGAACGGGTTTAAAAACATAGTTGATTTTTTCCTCGTACATTTTTTTTTCTCTTTTCGTATGCATTACTTAAATGTTCGGCCTTAATTGAGAACCTTAGGCTAAAACAATTAGGTTAGAACTAAACTAGCAGCGAACTTATCAAATAATATTACGTGTAGTTGAATGTCGTCTTAAGCGCTACTAGTGCGAAAATGTACTTAACTCGATGGTTGGCCCAGAAACTGGGGCAGCTGGGGCGTGTGTATGTCTCAGTGCTTTGACAGATTCAGTGGTAAGTCTGGTGGAGAGAAAGAGTTCGCATGAAAATTGGGTTTCCTTACTGCGCCCTGATGATTTGCTCACCTGAACTTTGTTCATTCCTTAGGCTACTAGTATGAAACATTGCGGAGGAGCTGGCGCCGGAAGTGGCCGCCGAGGAGGAGGCCGATGCGCTCGAGCTGCTCGGCGAAGTGGAGGCGGTGCGATGACTGGACGCTGCAGACATTTGGTCGGTACTACTATCAGTCAGTTTTGGCGTGGCCAGGTGAGCGGGCGAGTGGTGGGTGGTGGTCAGTGCAGCCGGATGAGGATGCTGGTGCGGATGGGCCAGGTGCGGATGCGTGTGGGGACTGGGAGCGGGCTGCCCGAAGGCGGCGGCAGCTGCAGCAGCCGCCACAGCGGCCGCTCCCACTCCGTTATAGGCGAACGCGTGATAGGGCGACTGCGGCGACAGTCTCGCAGCAGCTGCAGCTGCAGCAGCGGCGGCTGCCGAACTGCCGGCCTGTGGATGTGGCGGCAGCAGGGGCGATCCTCCCGCCTGATAGTGGTGCATCCACAGCGGACTGTGCCTCAGGGCCGCCAATGTGGATATGTAGGGGTGGTACAGCGATGGCGACACCACCGAGGGAATGTAGGCTGCTGCGGCCGCTGCTGCCGCCGCTGCTGCAGCTGCACTGCTGCTGGACGTGACCGGCGCCGAGGTCGGACTGCCGCCCGATCCATTGCCGTTCACCTGAGGCGGTGGCGGATACATATAGTAGTGCAGCGGCGAGCTGCGCTGCAGGTGCGGCTGCTGCTGCTGCATGTGGCGCCGGTCCGGAGGCGAGGCACTCCGATCGCCGGGCGAGGGGCAGCTGCTGCTGCTGGCCGACGGCGAGGCGAACTCCCGTCGGATCGATGCAGTCTTCTTGGGCACAGTGCGCGGCGTCGTGGCGGGCGAAGCCGGCGAAGAGCGCGGCGGCGACAGGTCCTGCGACGCTGAGTTCGTGGGTGGACGACCTCCTCCCGCATAGGGATCCCTGTAGAAGGTGTGGCCATAGTCCACGGGTGATCCCGACGTGTACGGTGGCGAACGCTTCTTGGTTCCAGCGTGCGACGGGGATTTACCGCCGCCTCCTCCTCCATTGCTGCCGCTCACATCCGGGGACTTGGGCGAGGTGAGCAGCGAGCGTGGATAGCTCGAGGAGCTGGGCTGGTACAGGGAGTGGTGCGGGTGGTGCACATTGCTGATTATAGCCGCCGGATGATCGCCGCCCTTCTTGCCGGAGGAGGAGGAGGATGTGCTTCCGCTGCCACTGCTTCCACCCAGCAGCGAGTGGATGCTATAGGAGCTGTTCAGTCGCGTGGGCTGCGTTGACGCTGCCGCTGGCGAGGTGTTCGATGAGCTGGAACCGGGACTGGGGCTCGGCTTTCCCTGCGGAGGGGCCAGATTCATCGGCGACGCCTTGCCAGCCGGTGATGAAGTCGAAGAAGCCTTTGCTCGGCTCCGTTTGCCGCCAGCTCCCCCGCTGCTTCCGCCAGCGCTGCCGTTATTCACGCATCCGTTGTCCTCCAGCGACACCTTCTCGAACTCGCGCAGGATTCTCTTCCTGGGCGACACGTGCTGGTGGTGGTACTCGACTAGACGGCTGGCTGCTGTTGCCGACGAGGGCGGAGAGACCTTAAAGAAGACATTCCAATGGTTAATTCAGGAAATCGAAGTAAAACAGTATGGATATTTATAGAGATTACTTTGAATTTGTTCCGCAATAAACTTGAACTTTGAATAGGTAATTAAAAATTCGTTAAAACGCAAACACAATTTACATTTTGGTTTGTGAGAATACCAGAAATAGAATGTAAATCGTAGACTATTTAGAATGCAAGCAAAACTCACCTTGTGCGTCAAGGAGTGGCCCAAACTGCCGATGGCTCCGCCACCGCTGCGCTCTGTTGACGCCGTTGTCGCTGCGGATACCGCTGGTGCCTTCGACATTTGCTCTAGGCGTGCTGGTACGCCATCGATTAGTTTCTGGATGATGCTGCTGAGCTTGGCCCTCGGTTTCGGTTTCGGCTTTGGTTTTCCCACTCCCGTCTTGAGGTCGCCGTTCAGGTCTCCGTTCACGGGATTCGTGCTTTTGGGCGGCTCTGTCATGGCTTCCTCGTCCTCGCTCGTATTCATCTTCTCCACTGGCTCCTCTTTTGCTTCTGCCTCCACCTTCTGATCAGGGGATGCTACTTTTAACTCACTGTCCTCGGTTACCTCTTTCTTGGGCTCCTTTTCAGGCCCATCGGCATCTTCCGCGCCTTTGATCGCTTCCGGTTTCTCAGTTTTAATCTCATTTGTGGATATGTCCGCCTCGGCGCCACCTTCAACGGCCTCTGCGGCTTCCGCTTTAAGAGTATCGTCACCGTTTTCCGCCTTGACTGCCGCCTCAAAGATGGACTGCTGCTCCTCGCTGCTGGTCAGCGGCTCATGGGGCCGCCGTCGCTTGCGAGCGGCTGTTTGAAGGGCAGCCCGGCCGAGTGCACTGTTCCTGGGGCGGTGAAAGAAGAGCGAGAGCTCTTTGGATATACCGCGCCTGGGACGCGACTGTTTCCAGGGCTGATCTCGCTGCCAGGGCGAGGATTGTATCGAGCTGTTGTCGTCCGAAACTGCAAGGGAGTGGATATGATTATAATGTAACAACAAGGATTGATAAACGATGTAATTTGTAGCAAAATTAGGCTTTTATAAAGCCTATTAAAATCTAATTTTAAAATAGATCAAACTTCAAGATCATTTCTTTGATTTTAAACTTAATTACAACGGATCAATCCGATAAATTTGGCATAATTTAGTTGATTTAAAAAAAAATAAATCGATATTGATAGTTTAGTAGGTACAGTGGGTTTCTATAAAATTTAACTCGATTGTTTTGCGTTTCATTGAAATTGGACTTTATCCCATACGTGTCATTAGAATCATTTGGACAAATAAGCACATGTTTTGTAAATACGGCAGGGGTATATAGCTTAGACCATCCAATTTTTGTTAATCCCCTATTTCAGATGGTTTCCCAATTGGGTTCTCTAACTAAAAAGTATCCCGTGCTACGTACAGCTCAGCGATGTGGAATTCTCGTTCTTTGGATACGCTGTGGTCACCGCCGACGTCGGGGTCACAGTGGCCGAGGTGGCCGCCGATGGAGGCCGGAAGGTCTTGCGCGTGACCGAGACCCAGCCGCTTTTGTCGCCATCCTTGGATCGTGCCAGTTCCAAAATGAATTTGCCATCTGCGTGGGTGAATCTCAATGGTTAATCTTGAATATTTCCGGGAGATTGAATACTTGCCTTTGAAGAACTGCAAACGGCCGCCGTAGCCGCCCCAGCTGTTGTTGCCGCTGTTGCTGCCGTGCGTCGCTATTGGAGTCCTGCCCATTTCAAAGCCGCCGCCGGAGTTGCTGCTGCTGCCCTTGCCGATCTTCACTGTTCCCGCAGCCGCTGCCGCTGCCGCTGCTACTGCTGCTGCTCCCCCCAAGGAACTGTAGTCCAGGACGCCGCCCAGGACATCGATGGTGGGGGGCTTGGATGCAGTGGCTCCAACGATGCTGGCGGCTGCCACTGCGGCGGATGCAGCCATGATGCTACTACTTTTTGGCGTCTTGGCATGCGGCAAAAAGCCATTTGAGGGGGTGGAGCTGCAGGATGAGGGCGTTGGCGTGGGCGTGGTCGTCCTGCTTAAGTTGCTGGGCAGGGGCGGTGGCAGAGGGGGAAAGCTGCTGTTGCTGCTGCTACTGTTCCCATTCAGGCCATTTTTCAGTAGAAACTTGGCGGCCGCCTCTGCAATTATGCTACTACAGTTGTTGTTGCTGCTGCTCTCGTTGCCGTTGTTGTTGCTGTGGCTGCTGCTGCTACTGGCTGCGTTGTTGTTGCTGCTGCCGCTGTTGTTATTGCTGTTATTGTTGTTGTTGCTGGAGTTACTGCTGTTACTGTTAATGTTACTTTTATGCTCATCGGTCATTGTTGTCTGTTGCACTCTGTTACGCTTGTGACGTCATTTAGACAGGGGCCTTCAAAGAGAAACACACATTCGTTTGCCACGGGCATTACATTCACATCGCAATCCCGCACTTATAAACCGCATTGAATGGACAATTTAAGTACCATTTCGTTCATTGTTTTTGTTGTAAATTCCAGGCGCAGAGTTCGCGGCCGGAAGAAACGGCGCCGACGGCGTCGCTAAGCAAAATATGCCAGCTCGGCACGGCGTTAGGAGCGTCTAGCACCATTTTCATGTTTTGGGGCACCGTACCGATCCCTATTACTATTGCACACACATATTCTTATTGCATCCTGGCCACTGGCCCGTCAGCCCACTGGTGGCGGTATTTAACCAAACCAATTTCACAGGCTTTTCTGTGCGTTTTCTTGAAGCCCAAACGTAAAGCGGAGGCAGCGCACAAAGAGAGCACAAAACGAAGTGCGGACAAGGTGGAAATTTTTCCAATGGAAAAAACGTTCTCCAATTACCGTCAGCGGATATATCGATAGCCGATGGTCTGGCCAAACGGGGGCGGTCGACCGAGTTACTCTAATTTGTTTAGCGGGCAGTTGGGGGCGGGGGCAGCTCTGTTTCCAACCAATAAACTAATAAATAAATTTAAAAATTATCAACGAAAAAACGCAGCTCGGTGCACTGTGTGACCGTCAACTGAGAACGGCAAAATCCCCAGAGCCAGGGAGTATGCCTGCCAACAGCCCGTTTCCACTGTTTCTGAAGCAGCCTCACTCCTCTTTATGTTATTGTGCTAGGTGGTCCTGAAATTTTTTTTTTAATTTTTCGCAAAGGTCCTGGAGCTTCAAGGAACCTCAACCACCTTAACAGCCGGTCAAGTCAAGAGGAGCGTGTCCTCTGCATTCCGTGGAACCACTCTCCCAGTTGTCGCAACAGATCATAAATCTGTTTCTGTGTGGGCGCCGGCAAGTACACCAAAGCCTGCAATAAATAAATATAAATAAATAATAATAATCCTAAATATAATAGAAATGTTTAGAAATGCTCTGCGTTACAAAAACAGCTCACCTGTTTGGGTCATTTTCATCATTTTAGATAATTGTAACACACAATTTTGAATTGGATTAAAATTAACGAAATTAACTTAACACACGAATCAAATCAAAGCTTGCAAATAGCGGCAAGGCAACTTGGTAGGTATGCAATAGGTACTTTGCAACACTACACTTTAATCTTCAAAGTTCCTTGTCGCCATTTGTTGATGCTAATCAATTTAATTAATTCTCAATTTAAATTAAATCAATGGAAAGTGAGTTGGATATGGAAGTACCCCATGTCGACGTTGATTTGGAGGATGTTAACAATATTACCCAAAAAACTTTCAGCGTTTTTCGGCAGCTTGGCTGAACCGAGCGATGTATGTTCAGCTGCGGCATTGTATGTAAATTCAAAAAAAAAAAACAACCAAGGACTGAAAATAACTATTATTGTAAATTGTTCTTACTAAAAAAATCATTCATTAAATATTTGGAACTAATTCCATTTATGATTATGGAGCGTAATGGCCAACCCATTGGCGAGCACGCTTATAGTGCATTTGAAGGAGTTCCGGTCGTCGAAAATACTTTTTACTCGGAGCCTTAGACCATATTACAATATGGTTAAAAGGGGCCTGGAGCGTTTTGCGACTGGAGCATCTTACAATTGAGACTGGAGCATTTGAACATTTGGAACATTTTGCGAATGGAGCATTTTGAGACTGGAGCATTTTGCGACTGGAGCATTTTGCGAATGGAGCATTTTGAGACTGGAGCATTTTGCGACTGGAGCATTTTGAGACTGGAGCATTTGAGACTGGAGCATTTTGCGAATGGAGCATTTTGCGACTGGAGCATTTGAGACTGGAGCATTTTGAGACTGGAGCATATTGCGACTGGCGCATTTTGAGACTGGAGCATTTTGCGAATGGAGCATTTTGCGAATGGAGCATTTTGAGACTGGAGCATTTTGAGACTGGAGCATTTTGCGACTGGAGCATTTTGCGACTGGCGCATTTTGAGACTGGAGCATTTTGAGACTGGAGCAAACATTTTGAGACTGAAGCATTTTGCGACTGGAGCATTTTGCGACTGGAGCATTTTGCGAATGGAGCATTTTGAGACTGGAGCATTTTGAGACTGGAGCATTTTGAGACTGGAGCATTTTGAGACTGGAGCATTTTGCGACTGGAGCATTTTGCGACTGGAGCATTTTGCGACTGGAGCATTTTGCGAATAGAGCATTTTGAGACTGGAGCATTTTGAGACTGGAGCATTTTGCGACTGGCGCATTTTGAGACTGGAGCATTTTGAGACTGGAGCATTTTGCGAATGGAGCATTTTGAGACTGGAGCATTTTGAGACTGGAGCATTTTGAGACTGGAGCATTTTGAGACTGGAGCATTTTGAGACTGGAGCATTTTGCGACTGGAGCATTTTGAGACTGGCTCATTTTGAGACTGGAGCAATTTGAGACTGGAGCATTCTGAGACTGGAGTATTTTGAGACTGGAGCATTTTGCGACTGGAGCATTTTGAGACTGGAGCATTTTGAGACTGGAGCATTTTGAGACTGGAGCATTTTGAGACTGGAGCATTTTGAGACTGGAGCATTTTGAGACTGGAGCATTTTGAGACTGGAGCATTTTGCGACTGGAGCATTTTGAGACTGGAGCATTTTGCTAATGGAGCATTTTGAGACTGGAGCATTTTGCGACTGGAGCATTTTGCGACTGGCGCATTTTGAGACTGGAGCATTTTGAGACTGGAGCATTTTGAGACTGGAGCATTTTGCGAATGGAGCATTTTGCGAATGGAGCATTTTGCGAATGGAGCATTTTGAGACTGGAGCATATTGCGACTGGCGCATTTTGAGACTGGAGCATTTTGCGAATGGAGCATTTTGCGACTGGCGCATTTTGAGACTGGAGCATTTTGAGACTGGAGCATTTTGCGAATGGGGCATTTTGCGAATGGAGCATTTTGAGATTGGAGCATTTTGCGAATGGAGCATTTTGAGACTGGAGCATTTTGAGACTGGAGCATTTTGCGAATGGAGCATTTTGCGAATGGAGCATTTTGAGACTGGAGCATTTTGCGAATGGAGCATTTTGCGAATGGAGCATTTTGCGAATGGAGCATTTTGCGAATGGAGCATTTTGCGAATGGAGCATTTTGCGAATGGAGCATTTTGAGACTGGAGCATTTTGAGACTGGAGCATTTTGAGACTGGAGCATTTTGCGACTGGAGCATTTTGAGACTGGAGCATTTTGAGACTGGAGCATTTTGAGACTGGAGCATTTTGAGACTGGAGCATTTTGAGACTGGAGCATTTTGCGACTGGAGCATTTTGAGACTGGAGCATTTTGCGAATGGAGCATTTTGAGACTGGAGCATTTTGCGACTGGAGCATTTTGCGACTGGCGCATTTTGAGACTGGAGCATTTTGAGACTGGAGCATTTTGAGACTGGAGCATTTTGCGAATGGAGCATTTTGCGAATGGAGCATTTTGCGAATGGAGCATTTTGAGACTGGAGCATATTGAGACTGGAGCATTTTGAGACTGGAGCATTTTGAGACTGGAGCATTTTGAGACTGGAGCATTTTGAGACTGGAGCATTTTGAGACTGGAGCATTTTGAGACTGGAGCATTTTGCGACTGGAGCATTTTGAGACTGGAGCATTTTGCGAATGGAGCATTTTGAGACTGGAGCATTTTGCGACTGGAGCATTTTGCGACTGGCGCATTTTGAGACTGGAGCATTTTGAGACTGGAGCATTTTGAGACTGGAGCATTTTGCGAATGGAGCATTTTGCGAATGGAGCATTTTGCGAATGGAGCATTTTGAGACTGGAGCATATTGCGACTGGCGCATTTTGAGACTGGAGCATATTGCGAATGGAGCATTTTGCGACTGGCGCATTTTGAGACTGGAGCATTTTGAGACTGGAGCATTTTGCGAATGGGGCATTTTGCGAATGGAGCATTTTGAGATTGGAGCATTTTGCGAATGGAGCATTTTGAGACTGGAGCATTTTGAGACTGGAGCATTTTGCGAATGGAGCATTTTGCGAATGGAGCATTTTGCGAATGGAGCATTTTGCGAATGGAGCATTTTGCGAATGGAGCATTTTGCGAATAGAGCATTTTGCGAATGGAGCATTTTGCGAATGGAGCATTTTGCGAATGGAGCATTTTGCGAATGGAGCATTTTGCGAATGGAGCATTTTGCGAATGGAGCATTTTGAGACTGGAGCATTTTGAGACTGGAGCATTTTGAGACTGGAGCATTTTGAGACTGGAGCATTTTGCGACTTGAGCATATTGAGACTGGAGCATATTGCGACTGGCGCATTTTGCGACTGGAGCATTTTGCGAATGGAGCATTTTGCGAATGGAGCATTTTGAGACTGGAGCATTTTGCGAATGGAGCATTTTGAGACTGCCGCATTTTGAGACTGGAGCATTTTGAGACTGGAGCATTTTGCGAATGGGGCATTTTGCGAATGGAGCATTTTGAGATTGGAGCATTTTGCGAATGGAGCATTTTGAGACTGGAGCATTTTGAGACTGGAGCATTTTGAGACTGGAGCATTTTGAGTCTGGAGCATTTTGAGACTGGAGCATTTTGAGACTGGAGCATTTTGAGACTGGAGCATTTTGAGACTGGAGCATTTTGCGAATGGAGCATTTTGCGACTTGAGCATATTGAGACTGGAGCATATTGCGACTGGCGCATTTTGCGACTGGAGCATTTTGCGAATGGAGCATATTGCGACTGGCGCATTTTGAGACTGGAGCATATTGCGAATGGAGCATTTTGCGACTGGCGCATTTTGAGACTGGAGCATTTTGAGACTGGAGCATTTTGCGAATGGGGCATTTTGCGAATGGAGCATTTTGAGATTGGAGCATTTTGCGAATGGAGCATTTTGAGACTGGAGCATTTTGAGACTGGAGCATTTTGCGAATGGAGCATTTTGCGAATGGAGCATTTTGCGAATGGAGCATTTTGAGACTGGAGCATTTTGCGAATGGAGCATTTTGCGAATAGAGCATTTTGCGAATGGAGCATTTTGCGAATGGAGCATTTTGCGACTGGCGCATTTTGAGACTGGAGCATTTTGAGACTGGAGCATTTTGCGAATGGGGCATTTTGCGAATGGAGCATTTTGAGATTGGAGCATTTTGCGAATGGAGCATTTTGAGACTGGAGCATTTTGAGACTGGAGCATTTTGAGACTGGAGCATTTTGAGACTGGAGCATTTTGCGAATGGAGCATTTTGCGAATGGAGCATTTTGAGATTGGAGCATTTTGAGACTGGAGCATTTTGCGAATGGAGCATTTTGAGACTGGAGCATTTTGAGACTGGAGCATTTTGAGACTGGAGCATTTTGAGTCTGGAGCATTTTGAGACTGGAGCATTTTGAGACTGGAGCATTTTGAGACTGGAGCATTTTGAGACTGG